TTGATTTATTGTAGAGATGAGGTCTCACTGCCCAGGCGGATCTCGAACCCACGGGCTCAGACAATCCATTCACCTCAGCCTCCCAAAGGTGCAGGATTACAGGCTGAGCCACCGAGCCCGGCTAAGTGTCTTCTACCATACTGAAATTAAAATAAAAATTAATTATACAAATAGAGCATGAAAAATTCAAACAATAGAGAAGTCCTTCTTGTCCCCTAGTGTCCTAATTCAAGTCATTTTTCATTTGTTTTCAGAGAAGTATCTTTCCAAATATATAGACAGGAAGAAATGTATAGTTTTGTTTCCTTAATTAAATAGCATCCTGTGTTTGCCTTTTTTATTTAACAGGAGGTTTTAGAGATTTTTCCATGTAAGTATATAAGATCTGACTCTTTTCAATTGCTGTGTAGTGTTTCTTATTGCAGATGTCTAGTGCTTTCTTTAAGCATTCCTATTGCCAGGCACAGTGGCTGATGCCTGTAATCCCAGTACTTAGGGAGGCTAAGGTGAGAGGATTACCTGAGCCCGGGGGTTGGAGACTAGCCTGGGCAACTTGGTGAGACCTTGTCTCTACAATAAATCATAAAAATTAGCTGGGCTTGGTGGCGCATGCCTATAGTTCCAGCTACTTGGAAGGCTGAAGCAGAAGGATTGCCTGAGCCCAGCAGGTCAAGGTTGCAGTGGCCGTAAGCATGCCACTGCACTGTAACCTGGGCAACAGAGTGAGATGCCAACTTAAAATAAAAAAGCATTCCTATTGATGGACTTTTAGTTTAGTTCCAGTTTTCCCATATTACAGATAGTATCTGAGGTTTACCATTAGATAGGGGCCCAGGCATTGTTTTTCTTTCTTTTTCAAAGCTCCGCACATGATTCCGGTGTTGACAATTTTGTCTCTGGAATACCTTTAAAGGTGTTCTTTGGTTCTAGAATTCTGTGATTATATTTAGAGTTTCTGGTTAAATACAAAACTTCCTTGATGCCAGTCATGTTGAAGAGGTGCTATCTCATTGCCTCTCAGAGGGTATGATTCAAGGATACCCCCCATTATTGTTAATGGGGTGCTTATTAAAAATGAAGATTTTGGGCTTTATCCTAGATCTATGTAATTAAAACAGGGTTTGCCTGAGAATGTGCCCAGGAGATTCTTATATTCAGTTGTTTTTTTTTTCTCGTTCTGTCACCAAGGCTGGTGTGCAGTGAGTCATAACTCACTGCAGCCTCTATCTCGTGGGCTCAAGTGGTACTCCCTCCTCAGCTTCCAAGTAGTTGGGACTACAGGTGTGCACCACTCTGACTAATTTTTTATTTTTTATAGAGACAGGAGTCTCACTATGTTGCCCAGGCTGGACTTGAGCTTCTGGCCTCAAGAGATTCTCCTGCCTTGGCCTCCCAATGCACTAGGCTTACAGGTGTTAGCCACTGTGCCTGGCTTTGGTGATGTTTTATTATTTTATTTTATTAATTATTTTTTTGAGTTGGAGTCTCACTCTGTTACCCAGACTGGAGTTCAGTGACACGCTTCCGGCCACCACAACCTCGACCTGCTGGACTCCGGTGATCCTTCTGCCTCAGCCTTCCAAGTAGCTGAAACTACAGGCGCGCACTACTACGCCTGGCTAATTTTTTTGATTTATTATAGAGATGAGGTCTTGCCAAGTTGTCTAGGCGGGTCTCAAACCCGCGGGCTCAGGCAATTCACTCATCTTGGCCTCCCAAAGTGCGGAATTACAGGCTGAACCACTGAGCCCGGCTGGGGATGTTTAAAATAATCCTGTCAGGTCGGGTTCGGTGGCTCAGCCTGTAATTCCAGCACTTTGGGAGGTCGAGGAGAGTGGATTGCCTGAGCCGGTGGGTTCGAGACCCACCCAGGCAACTTGGCGAGACCTCGTCTCTACAATAATTCAAAAAATTAGCTGGGTGTGGTAGCACACACCTGTAGTTCTGGCTACTTGGAATGCTAAGGTGGAAGGATCGCTGGAGCCCAGCGGGATGAGACTGCAGTGGCCGGGAGCATGCCACTGCATTCCAGTCTGGGTGACAGAGTGAGACTCCCACTCAATAAATAAATAAATAAATAAATAAAAATGATCCTGTCTAGGGCTTTAAAAAAATTCAATTTGCCCCAGCCCCATTCATAGATATGTTGGTCACTGGATTTGTGAAATATCCAGCAGCTTTCATTTTAAGAAACTAGCAGGAAATTTCTGATAAGAACAATCCTAGAACAGTGGTTTCCAAGGTCACTAGACCAATGTCTACATCACCTGGAACTTGTTAGAAAGGTAATTTCTCAAACCCTCACCTAGAACTACCTTACTGTATCAGAAACCCTATGGGTGGGGCCCAGCACTCTATTTTAGTAAGTCCTCCAGGTGATTCTGATGCACACTACAGTTTGAGAAACACTGTTCTAGAGTGTGGTTTGATTTGGGGTTAAATGGGTTCTATTGATTAATGCTTAGTTCCGCATAAATCTGATCTCCATTATTGCAGATTTGTACACTGTGGATTATTTTAAATACTTTTTTGGTTATATTTATCCTAAAGCAAGGAGTGATCTTTTTTTTCTAGGATTGACGATGAGGAACAAACACGGATCAGTCTGAATTGTACTCAGAAGGCTTTGATGCAGGTGGTGGCTTTTCTCTCTCAGAACAAGCAAATTTATCAGAAGACTGAAATTCTGTCATTGGAGAAGGTAATAAAAGAATTTTATATTTGCTCTTTTATTACTGTGCATTTTCTAATGGCTTTATTGAGGTATAATTGATATATTAAAAATTGGGTTACACTTTGATGGGTTTCATTACTCTGCATTTTTCTTAGCAAAGTCACTTGTAAAGTTTTAGGTCAACAGACCATTAACTATTACCTAAAGAAGTACAAGAGGTATATGGGAGAGCTTACTCTTCTGGGAAAAGCATATTGAGAAAGAGAGACTCCAGAAGTAGGAAAATGCTGGTAATTTTTCAGGGTTACAGATTTGCTTACAGGGTTACAGGTTAGATCTCTTTTTATTTTGTACCCTCTTTCTGACTGCTGTCATTCACTTTAATTTGACAGCCATTTGTGTGATGATGATCCCTATATCTTTACTTTTTGGCTCAGAATGTTTTCTTAAGGAAAAAAAATAAAAGAACCCCTCTTTCCAACTGCTTTCTGAATATTTCCCATTTACAGAACTCACAAGTATTTAAAATCCAGTATATGCGAATGTTGACTTTATCCCTATCCCATCCCTTGATATATTTTTTAAATTTCATTTTTAAAATTTATTTATTTATTTATTTAAGCAGGATTTATTGAGAGGACAGAAAAGCTCCAACAGAGGGAGGGGACCCAAGGGGATTGCCCTATTTATTTTTAATTTTTATATTTTTGAGTCTGGGTCTTACTGAAGCCCTGGCTGGATTGTAGTGGCATGATGATGGCTCTTGCAGCCTCGACCTCCTGAGTTTAGGCAATCCTTCCACTCGGCCTCCTGAGTAGCTGGGACTACAGACATGTGCCACCATGCCAGGCTAATTTTTTTTTTTGAGTTGGAGTCTCACTCTTTTGCCCAGGCTGGAATGCAATGGCATGCTCACAGCCACTGCAGCCTCGAATTGCTGGGCTCAGTGATCCTTCCGCCTCAGCCTTCCAAGTAGCTGGAACTACAGGCATGCGTCACCATGCCCAGCTAATTTTTTGATTTATTGTAGAAAGAAGTCTTACCAAGTTGCCCATGCTGGTCTCGAACCTGTGGGCTCAGGCAGTCCTTTCATCTCAGCCTCCCAAAGTTCTGGGATAATAGACATGAGCCACTGCACCTGGCCCTGGATAATTTTTTTGGTTTTTTTTGTTTGTTTTTTTTTAGTTGGAGTCTCACTCTGTCGCCCAGACTGGAGTGCAGTGGCCGCTCCCGGCCACCGCAGCCTTGACCTGCTGGGCTCCGGCGATCCTTCCGCCTCAGCCTTCCAAGTAGCCGGAATTACAGACATGTGCTACCACGCCCCGCTGATTTTTTAATTTATTGTAGAGATGAGGTCTCGCTGCCCAGGCGGGTTTCGAACCCGCGAACTCAGGCAATCCACTCACCTCAGCCTCCCAAAGGCGCGGGATTACAGGCTGAATCACAGAGCCTGGCCTAGATAATTTATTAAAAATTATTTTTTGAGCCAGGCGCAGTGGCTTGCACCTATCATCCCAGAACTTTGGAAGGTGGGGCAAGAAGATTGGAATTCGAGACCAGCCTAGCAATCTTGATGAGACCTCGTCTCTACAATAAATAAAAAAATTAGTCAGGTGAGGTGGTACATGCCTGTGGTTCCACTACTTGGAAGGCTGAGGTAGAAGGAGGATTATCTGAGCTCAGCAAGTCGAGGGTGTGGTGGCTGTGAGTGTCACTGTACTCCAGCTTGGGCAGCAGAGTAAGACTCCAACTCAAATAAATAAATAAGTGAAACAAAAAAGAGATTGGGCCATTGTTTGCTAAGTTCTGGTCTGGCCATGTGGTTCTTTGAGTTATGACTACCATGTTTTTTCTAAGCTTTGATCCCCTCTCCTACCTTGGAAAGGTGAATCTCCTCATCTCTTATTCTCTTAGTCGTCTCTCTCTCTCTCATTTACTTTCTAAATAAACTATATCTTCCTTTTTTTTTTTTTTTGAGTTGGAGTCTCACTCTGTTGCCCAGACTGGAGTGCAGAGGCCACCGCAGCCTTGACCTGCTGGGATCCGGTGATCCTTCCACCTCAGCCTTCCAGGTAGCTGGAACTACAGGCATGCGCTACCACGCCCGGCTAATTTTTGATTTATTGTAGAGATGAGGTCTCGCCAAGTTGCCCAGGCGGGTCTTGAACCCGTGGGCTTAGGCAATTCACTCACCTCGGCCTCCCAAAGCATGGGATTACAGGCTGAGCCGGGCTATATTTTCCAATCTAAAAAAAAAAAATTTGTAGAGACGAGGTCTCACAAGTTGTCTAGGCTTGTCTTGAACTCCTGGGCTCAAGCAGTTCTCCTGCCTTAGCCTCCCTTAGTCTACTGGGATTACAGGCATAAAGCAACCACACCTGACCAAATTTCATTTTCTAAAAACGTCATACTAAGTTATCATTATCTCCTGCATTTTCCAAGTTTTCACACCTCCTTCTGTGCTCTTGTAAATCCAAACCCTCAGGTTTGGAACACTTCTCTTCCCTCTCCTGGGATGTTAGTGTACTTTTCGCTAGGCGCCCACAGAAGGCTTTCCAGGCTATTTTTTTTTTTTAACACGTGAAGTTTCACCAAGTTGTCCAGGCGGGTCACAAGCCCCTGGGCTCAGGCAATCCTCTTGCCTCCGCCTCTCAAAGTGCTGGGATTACGGGCGTGAGTGGTCCAGGCTTTTAGCATAGTGTACAAGTCCTTAATGACTGGATGCAGCCTCCAGCCTCATCTCCTGCCCCATCACATACTCTGCATGGCAGCCTTACTGTCTATTTTAGACCCGCCCCCATGGTGTTTTCTGTCACACCTTTGGCACCATACTCCTGTTTAGAATGTCTTTCTGTCGCTGGGTGCGTCAGTGTCTCTTGCCTGTAATCCCAGCACTTTGGGAGGTGGTGGTAAGAGATTGCCTGAGCTCAGGGGTTCGAGACCAGCCTGAGCAACTTGGTGAGACCTTGTATCTACAATAATTTTTTTAAAAGCTGGGCATGAGCCGGGCTCAGTAGCTCAGCCTGTAATCCTGCGCCTTTGGGAGGCTGAGGTGAGTGGATTGCCTGAGCCAGCGGGTTCGAGACCCGCCTGGGCAGCAAGACCTCATCTCTACAATAAATCCAAAAAATCAGCTGGGCGTGGTAGCACATGCCTGTAATTCCGGCTACTCGGAAGGCTGAGGCGGAAGGATCGCCGGAGCCCAGCAGGTCGAGGCTGCGGTGGCTGGGAGCGGCCACTGCACTCTAGTCTGGGCGACAGAGTGAGACTCCAACTCAAAAATAAATAAATAAATAAATAAATAAAATAAAATAAAATAAAAGCTGGGCACGGTGGCACATGCCTGTGGTTCCAGGCTGAGGCAGAAGTATCACCTGAGCCTAGCCGGTCAAGGCTGCGGTGTCCGTGAGCATGCCACTGCACTCCAGCCTGGGCGACAGAGTGAGACTCCGACTCAATAAAAAAAAGTAGAATGACTTTCCATGCTTCATCCTGCCTCTGTTTCCTGCTATACCGCCTTGACATCACTCACTGTTTAACTCTTTTCAGCTTTGCTCTAAGACCCAAGTTCCTGTAAAGCCTTCTTTGATTCCATTTCCTCCAGTTTCCCAGCACCCCAAAGTCCAGCTCATTTAGTTATTCCTTTGTGCTCCGATAACAGTAACACCTACCATGTATTTAAATGTTTTCATGATTACTTATTTAAACAACCTTCTTAGGAGGCTGTGAGCTTCTGAAAGTCAGAATGCTTTTGCCAGGTTTGCCTTCCCAAACTTAAGCCTGAAGCTGGCTATAATGAGCTCGGTTTTCATGTTTTATTGATTTCAGCAGTTTTCTTTAGGACTGATAACAGACAGTGTTTCTAACTTCTGTTTGTCTTTAGCCTTTGCTTCTGCATACTGGAATGGGACGGTTATGCACGCTGGATGAATCTGTCACCCTGGCCGCCATGATTGACCGAATCAAAAGACACCTGAAATTATCTCATATTCGCTTAGCTCTTGGGGTAGGGAGGACCTTAGGTAAATATATCTCTTTCATGTATCCAGTATACTTACTGATAACATTAGACAGAGGTTGGAATTATTGGCTGTATTGATATGAGTGTAGAGAATGTGTTGTCTCATGGGAGATAACTGGTTTACTTTATCGATCAGGTGGGCTAGGTTTTGCCATTGCTTAATTCATGAGGTTTATTTCTCAGTCATACTGCATATTCATCTCAAGTTAGTAGAGGAAGCCTGGTTGTTGTTGACCGGTCAGTATTGCAGACAGAATTCAGGAGCATCTTAAGCCAGCAGTTAAAAATTCCAGTCTGGAAATGATGCATGTCACTTCTACTCAACTCACTTTCCAGAATTGGTCCCATTGCCCAGTACAACCCAGGGAGGACATAAAGTACAGTCTTGTACCATGTAGCCAGAAGAAAGCTGAAATCATGATCGCCACAGTTACAACATACATTTTTTTTTTTTTTTTGAGTCCGAGTCTCACTGTGTCGCCCAGACTGGAGTGCAGTGACTGCTCCCAGCCACTGCAAGCCTCGACCGGCTGGGCTCTGGCAATCCTTCCGCCTCAGCCTTCTAAGTAGCTGGAACTACAGGCAGACGCTACCATGCATGGCTAATTTTTGATTTATTATAGTGATGAGGTCTCACCAAGTTGCCCAGGCAGGTCTCTAACCCACAGGCTCAGGCAATTCACTCACCTCGGCCTCCCAAAGCACGGGATTTACAGGCTGAGCCACTGAGCCTGGCCTTACAACATACATTTTGCACTTCTCGAGAAGGGTGATACCTCATAACAAGGAGCTGCAGAGGGCTCTGACCTGCTGCAGCTTCTGAATCTTGGAGGCACTGGCTTTTCTTCTGGCTTTTCCTAGTACTTGTGGGAACAAAGAGAGTGGACAGACATTTGTTGGACACCTGAGTAAGCCCAGCACTGTGATGTCTCTCCTAAGTATGTGAATTCCCACTGCAGAGGCAGTGGGCACAGTGGTCCAGGGTATGGATTCTGAGCTCAGACAAACTGGGTTCAAATTTCTGTGCAAATTCTAATACTCTAATGAAAGGGAATTGTAAAGCATTGTCTTGTTTCCTTTGTCTTGAAGAGTCCCACATCCATGCTGTGGCCCTGTGTGCTGGTTCCGGGAGCAGCATTCTGCAGGGCATAGAGGCCGACCTTTACCTCACAGGTGGGATGGCCTTTGGATCTCTCTTTTCCAGCTGGGTTTTTTTTTTTTACAAATTCAACATAAGCAGATTTTAGCACAGTGCCTGGCACATAGATGATATCTAATACATACTTTTTTGAACCTGAACTAAACAGGAACTACACCAAAATTGGGGACATACTCTTTTCTTTTTTTGAGTCAGAGTCTCACTCTGTTGACCAGGCTGGAGTGCAGTGTGGCATGCTCAACCTGCTGGGCTCAGGTGATCCTGCTGCCTCAGCCTTCCAAGTAGCTGGAACAGCAGGCATGCACCACCATGCCCAGCTAATTTTTATGGTTTATTGTAGAGACGAGGTCTCACCAAGTTGCCCAGGCTGGTTTCAAGCCGCTGGGCTCAGTCAATCCTCTGGCCTCAGCCTCCCAAAGTTCTGGGATTACAGGCATTAGCCACCACACCTGGCTTAAAATTTTACTTTTCATGAACAAGCCAAATTGTGCACAGTACACTTTTTGCTCTTAAATTAGAAGTCATCAAATTCACAGGAAAATTCAAAACACTGTATTTGAGTTTTCCTTGAATCTTTTCACAGAAGATAAGATCCTCTCCTACCAATAACTTCACAATTTCTAGGAATTTTGCCTAAATCAAATAAAAATACTGTTTTTGTTGTTGTTTATTTCTTATTTATTTTGAGTTAGAGTCTCACTCTTGTCTCACAGGCTGGAGTGCAGTGGCACGCTCATGGCCACCACATCCTTGACCTGCTGGGCTCAGGTGATCCTTCTGCCTCAGCCCTTCCAAGTAGCTGGAATTATAGGCATGCACCATCACGCCCAGATAATTTTTTGTTTTATTGTAGAGTCGAGGTCTTACCAAGCTGCCCAAGCTGGTCTTGAACCCCTGGACTCAATACTCTCACCTCTGTCTCCCAAAGTTCTGGGATTACAGGCGTGAGCCACTGCGCCCAGCCTATTGCTTATTTCTTAAGACTCATAATGAAGTTTGAAACTGTTTTTAATGTAGAAATAATTCTGAATTCATTTTATCCTTATGAATTAGACTAAAGGTTGATGCTGAAAATACCGGTATTCACCAAGCATAAAGAGTCTCCTAGGAAGTGTACCTAGGATTTTCTGAGGTATTTCCTATATAAGAAGCAAACTTTCTGAAGGCCTGTTTTACTTAGCAGTGGTCCTTTGTGTGATTCTGGAAACACTTTGAATGGGTGTTCTTCCAGACCTGGTTCTGGCTGGGTATGTTGGATTGGATACATGCCTTGGGTCTGCCAAGAACAAAGAAGTTGGAATTCTCAGTGGGATGGCTTCTCCCTCTTTTTAGGTTGGAGGACATATGAGAAAACTGGACACAGTCTTCTAGTTTTATATGGAAGTAGTTCTAGAGTATTACATGTACTTCATATAGAACATGAACTTGGCATTCCTGCTGCTGTGGTTCTACATGCCCTAGGTTCCATGTCTGATACTAAGTATTTGCTCTTTCCTGTTGGCAGGTGAGATGTCCCACCATGATGTTCTGGATGCTTCTTCCCGAGGAATAAGTGTCATCCTCTGTGAACATAGCAACACTGAACGAGGTTTTCTTTCTGACCTTCGAGATATGCTGGGTGCTCACTTGGAGAATAAGATAAATATCATCCTGTCAGAGACAGACAGGGACCCTCTTCACATAGTATAACACAGAAACACCAGGATAACAGTCTATAAATCAATTGGGTCCCAACTATAGTTCTTAACAGGAGTCTATGGAGTTGCTTTCCTTCCAGGAGAGTGTCTTAGAATGTGTTATCATTTCTAGTGTTTTAATCTGGCTCACCAAATGTCCTATAGCTGTGTTATTCCATTTTGTGCTGCTATAAAGGAATACCTGAGATTGGGCAAATTAAAAGAAAAGAGTTATATTTGGCTTACAGTGCCAGCATCTGGGCTTCTAGTGAGATTTCAGGAAGTTTACAATCGCAGCAGAAGGTAGAGAGGGAGCAGGTGTGTCACATGGTGAGAGCAGAAGCAGAGAAGGAGGTGGTGGCTTTTTTTGTGTGTGTTGGAGTCTCACTCTGTTGCCCAGGCTGGAGTGCAGTGGCATGCTCACTGCCACGCCAGCGTCAACCAGCTGGGCTACGGCGATCCTTCCACCTCAACCTTCCAAACTACCAGAACTACAGGTGCACACTACCACACCTGGCCAATTTTTTTTTTTTAATTGTAGAGATGAGGTCTCCCCAAGTTGCCCAGGCTGGTAGCTTTGCCCAGGCTGGTACCTCTGCCCAGACTGGTACCTACAGCAATGCAGGTAACATTTCAACAGGAGATTTGGAGGGGATAACAATCCAAACTATATCTGTAGTTCATAAGGTAAAAACAGTGTTACAACTATCATATTAAAGAACAATTGTTTGTTATAAACTCTAGGAAAGACTGATTAAGTCTATTAACACTCGTTTTAAGTAGCTCAGGTAATTCTCTCCTTAATAATAGATGGAATGTGTCAATCTGGGTAGGCGCCGTGGCTTACACCTGTAATTCCCACTACTTGGGAGGCTGAGGTGGGAAGATGGCTTGAGGCCAGGAGTTCAACACCAGCTTGGGCAATATAGTGAGACCACTTTGCTACAAAATAAGTAAATAGATATTTCTGCCCTTGGTTTAAAAAGTAGCTTCTTGGGGGTGATAAGGTCTATGTCCCTGTTTCTAGTTCCACTTGAATTCCATTCTCTCCTATAAATTTCAGAATCAAGATGAGATTTATCAGGAATTTTTTAAAAATACACGATCGTTATTCATTCATATTACTGTTTACCTTATTGCATTTTAGGAAATCACCTATGATTTTTTTCTCTTCCACAGTTATTTGTTTCTGCTTTCTGCTCTGTCCCTTTCCTCTCTTTGGACAATGAGCTTGGCTGCTCAGGCAGGGGGCAGTGCCAGTGAAATTCCAGAGGATAAAGAACAAAGCTATCTCAAGATGTCACCTTGTCCCGTTTACTTTGGCCCTATTTCCCTAGCTGCCCCTGACAGCCCATGCTGCACAGGGCAGATACCTCTCCCTCCTGAGGACTGCGTTTCCCAGCAGTCTGACCAGTTTCAACTTCAGGCACCCATGGATCACCTACCACATATAATCTTGAATTCATATTTTCATATAAAGCACCTTCCTCTTTTTTTACTTATTTCCTTTTTTTTTTTGAGTTGGAGTCTCACTCTGTTGCCCAGACTGGAGTGCAGTGGCCGCTCCCAGCCACCGCAGCCTTGACCTGCTGGGCTCCGGCAATGCTTCCGCCTCAGCCTTCCAAGTAGCTGAACTACAGGCACGCGCTACCATGCCCGGCTAATTTTTGATTTATTGTAGAGATGAGGTCTCGCCAAGTTGCCCAGGCAGGTCTCGAACCCGCAGGCTCAGACAATCCACTCACCTCAGCCTCCCAAAGGCACGGGATTACAGGCTGAACCACCGAGCCCGGCTTTTACTTATTTTCATTGTAAAATTAACAAACATAAAATATACCATTTTATTCCCCCCCAATTCACTATTTTAAAGTGAATTCAGTAGCTTTAGTACATTCACAATGTTGGACAGTCATTACCCTCCCCACTTTTTTTTCGTTTAATGTAAAAAAAAAAGTTTCTTCACTCATAGTTCTGGAGCCTGGGTTTGAATCCAGGTGCTGCGGGGGGGAGGATCCTTCCTCCTCCATCTTCTGGTGGCTGTTAGCTGCCCTGGAGGCTACACCACTTGTCTCTGCTTCGGTGGCCACACTTTTCCTCTTCTGTCTGGGGAGTCTTCCCAAACGTTTCTCATCACCCCAGAAGCCAGCCCTGCTAATAGCTCCCTTTTCCTGCCCCACACCTGCTTCCTGCACCTGTGAATTTGTCTATTCTGTTAAAGGGTCCCACAGCCTGAGTCTGTCGTCTCTGGTGCCTGGCTTCTCTCCCTCAGTACATTTTCTCCATTCTTGCTGACTTTGTGTATGCTTATTAGATGTAATCAAACATTAAATGTATTGTTTGATTCTCTTCTCATTTGTTTTTTTCTTTTTTTTGAGAAAGTAGGATTTATTGAGAGGACAGAGAAGCTCCCACAGTGGGAGGGGACCGGAAGGGGTTAGCCCTCATTTGTTTTTCTGTATGTTCATTTGAAGGAAGTTTTATTTCCCATCCATTATAACTTTTGAATATTTACTTCATATTAAATACAAAAGAACATTGCTCAAAAGAAATGTCATTTTTAAGCTTGGTATCTAATGCTGTTTTATGTTGTTTTGCTAATTTAAATAAACAAGGCCACATTTTTTTTTTTACTTGAGATAGTGGTTTAGCAATCTCTACTCCTGAAAGCAAGTCAGGCTGAGGAAGGACACATGTTCTGTCACAGGCTTTGCGTGGCCCTAGGAAAGTGGTCTTAGCACTGTAGGAATTACAGATGGACTGCATATTCCAGGAGGAAGGTTGCAGGTTGTAGGGACAGTGTTCCCACCTCTGTTCCCACCTTTGTTCCACATCCATCAGGGCCTCACAGGGACAACATGCTACCTTGGGCACCACCTCACATAATACCCATGCACGTGTACATGGAGGCGCTCTTACCATCAAGGTGGGATCCAAATCAGACACCTGGGGTGGGAGAGGAATGTGACTGGCCAGGTGATGGTATTAAAATATGTACATTGTTTCTTAGACATAATGCTATTGCACACTTAATAGAGTACAGCATAGTATAAACATAACTTTTTTTTTTTTGGAGTCAGTCTCGCTCTGTCACCCAGAGTGGAGTGCAGTGGCACACTCATGGCCACTGCAACCTCGACCTGCTAGGTTCAGGCAATCCTTCTGCCTCAACCTTCCAAGTAGCCGGAACCACAGATGTGCGACGCCATGCCCCACTAATTTTATGATTTATTGTAGAGACAAGGTCTCGAACCCCTGGACTCAGGCAATCCTCTCACCTTAGCCTCCCAAAGTGCTGGGATTACAGGCATGAGCCACCACGCCCAACTTAAACATAACTTCTATATGCACTGGGAAACCCAACAATATGTGTCTTGCTTTACTGAGGTATTTGCTTTATTGTGGTGCTCTGTAAATTAACCTGTAATATGTCCAAGGTGTGCCTGTATATAATACAAATACTCCAAAATTTAAAAAAATAAAAAATCCTAAACACTTCTGGTTCCAACTATTTCGGATAAGGAATAGTCAACCATATTTTAAGATGTTGATTGCTAAAAGTATAGTTTTTGTTTGTTTGTTTGAGTCAGAGTCTCACTTTGTTGCCCAGGCTGGAGTGCAGTGACACGTTCATGGCCACCGCCTGCTGGGCTCAAGCAATCCAGGCACGCACTACCACGCCTGGCTTATTTTTTTTAAATGTATTTTAGAGGTCTAACCAAGTTGCCCAGGCTGGTCTTGAACCCCTGGGCTCAGGCAATCCTCTTGGGGCCTCCCAAAGTGCTAGGATTGCAAGCTTAAGCCACCATGCCTGGCCTATATTGCTGCTTTTCAAAGTTTAATGTGTATGAGAACACCTGGAGATTTAGTTAAAATGCAGATAGAATCAGATGCTTGCATAGTGTCCAAGAATTTCTGGGCTCCCAAGAGATACTGATGCTGCCATTTTGAAGACCATAACTCTAGGTAGCAAAGGCAAAGATGGTAACCTAAATACTTGGGAAGGCTTGAAGAAAAGTGACACATATAAAAATTATTATGGGCCGGGCTCAGTGGCTCAGCCTGTAATCCCAGCACTTTGGGAGGCTGAGGTGAGTGGACTGCCTGAGCCTGTGGGTTCGAGAACAGCCCGGACAACTTAGGAGACCTCGTCTCTACAATAAATCAAAAATCAGCTGGGTGTGGTAGTGCACACCTGTAGTTCTGGCTACTTGGAAGGTTGAGGCAGAAGGATCACCAGAGCCCAGCAAATCGACGCTGTGGCTATGAGCCTGCCACTACACTCCAGTCTGGGTAACAGAGTGAGACTGACTCAAAAAAAAAGAATGTATATATTATTATGAAAATGTGATAATGAATTTTATGTTATACTCATCTTGAAAGTGTTTTCCATAGCACCAATCATTTCAAACTTTATTCAACACATTAAGGATGCTGAGAACGGGTGCGGTGGTTCATGCCTATAATCCCAGCACTTTGGGAGGCCCTAGTGAGAGGACTGCCTGAGCCTGCGGGTTCAAGACCAGCCGGGGCAACTTGGTGAAACCTCAGCTCTTAAAAAAAAAAGGATGCTGAAACTTTAAATGTTATTAAAATCTCATAAGTAATATTTCATATTTCATCTTCACATCCTCACAACTACTGTCTGGTGGAGAGCCTTCTATGTAGTAAGTGCTCAACATTAATTAAAATGGCTTAAGAGCAATTTGGAAAGTCACCATGTGAGACACTCTCCTAACGGAGAAATCAAGTAATTACAGTACACAAAACCTTAAACAAAGTCCTTATATAATACTTTATCCACCCCATGGTTTTTAGAAGCCACAGGATCCTGATAAGGCAGACCTTCATGACCATCATGGTGATTACTCAGGACTAGGCTTGGAGGGGTCATCTCATCTAGAATGGAGGAAAGTGAACTCTCAACAATGCTACTACTGGTTCCATATTTGAATTAGCTGAAACAAACAACAACAACAAAAGAATAAGCTAAAACTTTTTAGCAATTTTGTTTATTTTTGTTGTTGTTGTTTTGAGTTGGCGTCTTACTCTGTTGCCCAGATTGGAGTGCAGTGGCTGCTCCCAGTCACTGCAGCCTCGACCTGCTGAGCTCCAGCGATCCTTCCATCTCAGCCTTCCAAGTAGCTGGAACTATAGGCGCGCCCTACCACGCCCGGCTAATTTTTTTATTTATTGTAGAGATGAGGTCTTGCCAAGTTGCCCAGGTGGGTCTCGAACCCGCG